TTTTTGGGACAATTGAGTAACTGTGGCACCACTTTCCTAAACCTAATAATATGTAAAATAATAAAGACAGGCCATTTTTTTTCTAAATGTTTTGTTGAGAAGACAGAAAGCGCTGAAATTTCCAAACAAATTTTCGAATATCTCTCAAAACACTTTTTTCTAAAAACTCGCAACACCAGACACAACTCATTATCTACAGTTCTAGATAAAAGTTTAGGGATAACAATTCGCTTTTTTAAGTAGAATTTTAGTATCCTTGACTTAAAAAAAATCTGATACAATTTTTTAAATTATTTATTCTATATGCAAGATAATAATAATTTAATTGATTTTTTATAAACTTTACACTACACTCTTTTTGTTTTTTTTATTCCAAGAAATACATTATAGGAAAAAAATTGTGCCTTTCAAATATAGTAAATAGACTTTTTAACGTAAAAATTAATTTCTTTTCAGAACCTCACCATTATCTATTTTCTGAACGATTTATTTAGAAATATGTTATATACGGTTTACTCTCGTTATTTTTGTGAGTTCTATACAGAGTGGTCACTTTTATGGTGTACTCTATGTGTATCACCTGAACTAGAAAATATACAGGGTTGGTTCGATTACAAAAAAGTTACATATTTTCAAGCCATTTGGAATTATGAAAAGAAATTGGAAGTAAATTGCGCCTTTACTGAAATGCTCTGAGAAAACTGAAAACTTGGCTTTTCTTATTTCTTCCATTATCTTTTTTATTATTGAAAGTAGAGTAATGAAAAGGGGTATGTCTTGTTTAAATTCTTTCGAATATTTTCTCTGAAGAATTGTAAAGAATATGATTTGTGAAAGACCAGTCCAGTGTATTCGAAGAATTGCGAGTTACAGAAATAACAGAAGTGCTTCATTCAATTCCATTAGAAACAATTCAATGTTCAGTAAGAAACATAACTTGTAGAATACTTTTTTACGTTGAACAGAGAGGAACAATTTGAACAATTTACGTAATTTATGTTTATTTGTTTCTTTCTATTAATTAATTTATAGTTAATTTTTCATAATAAAACATAAATACCATAGTAGTAAATAATAGTTTGTTTGCTTTTAAACGGAAATGTCAAAATTTGCTTTTTAATGGCTACTATGATAAAATTGAATAAATCATAAAATTGACGTTTTTTGACATTTAATAAAATCTCTTCACCTTGAACTCCTTGAACTCGAAATTTAATACTTCATCTAATGGTATAAAAATCCAATATGACGTCCATAAGAAAATCACAAGTTGCATATGTAAACATAATGAACTAGGAGGCCCGGAAGATGTTTCATCATATCAATTTTCATTAATCTACTTTCAATAATAAAAGAGGAACGAAAAAAATAAGAATAGCCAATTTTTCAGTTTTTCAGCTTATTTCAGGAACGGTGTAACTTTCCTCCAATTTGTTTTCATAATATGAAATGGCATGAAAATATGCAACTTTCTTGTACACTTTAAAAGTGACCACCATATAATGTGTTGTAGGTATACTAATAAGTATAAGTATACAAATATCCAATTACTCTTTCTGTATCTGTTCCAAGCACACATGTTACAAAGACACTCTCTATTCCCACATTCAATACTTTTCTGTTAGATAATTCAACGTACTTATTTGAAACATATTCATTTTAAAAATTTTGTGTGCCATGATAAATTGTTCCTACATTCATTGTGATGTCGAAATAGTTTATCATAATACCAAGAAAATAATCTAAGTAAAGCAAGTAAAAGTTACAATTTGAATAAGTGAATGTATTATTCTTCACGCATCTCATTAGCATATAAAACAGGAAGTAGGTATAGCAATAATCTGCACAAAAATACGAAAATGAAAATATTTTGTTCACGTCAGTACAGATATTCTAAAGAGGTAAGTATATTTACAAAACAATTCAGGTAACTTATCACGATGGAAATTAAAATTAGAACAGAACAGTGAATTTCTCCCTTTTACAGTTGTATAAGTGATTAAGAAGTGTTTGGAATAATGAAAATAGACGTGAACAATTAAAATTAGACTAGTTAGATTTTCTCTTTTCTATTCATGTGCAGCTGATTTTATTTATGCTTAAGATGCATTAAATCTTAGAAATTTAAAAATAACTATTTTAGAAAACCATAAAATTTTTGAATCCTACAAAAAAACATCACCTACTGCACTTTTTGGCCGTATGGGTAATGTTAATTTTTTTAACGAGTTGCTATGTGTAATTAGTAATTTACAATAAATTTATTTTCAAATGTTTTATTATTTTTTTCGAAAAATACATTTCAATAAATTTCATTAAGCTTATATATGTCATCAAAATAATACTTAGATAGTAGGTAAATATTTCTTTATCTATAACAATTTTAAACCCGTTTAACATGTTTTAACTCAATAAATGTATCAACAAATCAGCCAAGAATTTATATTGCCGTACGAGGTCTGTTCAGAAAATAACTGACCACTTTGAATTACGCGCTAATGAAGATATTTAGTGATATGCGGTTGACAGCATTGTCTTGCGCATAACCTACACGGTAACCACATGTTCTTGGATTGTTATATCTCATTTACTTTTCGTGATATTGTCACTTGAGTGCAAGTGTTTTTTTGTGTAATTTTCTGCAACAACGATCCAACGTAAAATTTTGCGTGAACTTGAGGAACACTTTCACGGAAATGTTTGAACTTTTGAAACAAACTTACGGAGATGATGCTCTGGGTCTACGCAATGCTACGAATGGTTTTCAAGATTTAAAAGTGATCGTCAGTCAATTGAAGATATGGTCCTCTACCAAGAACAATCCAAGGGCTGTTTTTAAAGACTGTAATGAGTTAAACGGCGAAATGTTAATAAATGCAGCGCACAAGGAAGTCGGGTGAAGATTGTATATGTGTCTTGAAATGAGAGGAGGTCATATATAATAATATGGATGTAGGATGAAAGCGTTTGCCTCATTTTTTAAGTTTAGTTATTGTTATCATCACCTTTTGTTTTAGGTAACTGTATTAAAAAATTATCGAGTTTAATCCTTTTATTTATTCTTAATGACATTTATGTACTTTAAACAACGAACATTCAATTATTTTCCAATGACTACTTGATCCTTCCACCGCTAATATGCTGTTTAGGTGGAATTTCGTTTGAGACTCTTTAGGACGATATTGCTTATAACTTTTAAATGGGAAGTAATAGAGAAAAATTTCTCCAATAAAAGTTTATTAGAAAAAAGAGAGCATTTTAACAGGAAAAAGATTTGAGTATGGTTCTGGAAAAAATATAATTGATGACGTCATTAGTCGTTTCTGTCAAATCCCAAAGATAATACTTTCGACCGAAAATGGAACTTACCTCATCCCATTTGACACCACGTGTCCCAAATTTTATTTAAATTTTTTGTATCCTCACAGTAGGCATATACTATCGAATTTGAGACACCTTGTACTAAAATTGAAGAAATTAAGCTCCAATAAATTCAGCAATAAATGGAAGAAGAAGATAAGACAGGTCTTAATTTATTGGCCATCATTATTATCAGCTTTAGTTATATTATACAATTTTGGTGCTACTACATTTTAAATGTATGTCTTTCAAAATGGGTTACATTTCGAGTATTGCGGTTTTTGATTAACAAATAAATATTGCATTATTTAAAAGTGGAATAATTTTCATTAAAAACATCTGTTGTAGACATTATTATAACTTTCGTAACAATTAAAGAAGCTTTCTTTAAATACCCGGTCAAATATAGATCATTAGCTTGTAAAATAAAGATGCTACTATATAAATGCATATCTACTATATGGCATAAAATATTCTATAAAATAAGTTGAAGAACGCAAGCTATGAAAGATTATTGTAATAACGTCAGCTTTTATATACCAACTGCCACATAACCTACAATAGCATACAAAAAATGAATAAACATGTAAAGATCTAATTGGATCTAATATTCTGCTATTTATATTAAGCTTACAGACAGTGAAAAAATTACAAATATAGATATATTCAAAAGAAAATGTTTTTTTCTTGCATCTACGTTAGTTTATTACTATGCCAGTAATACCAGTATACAGGGTGTATCACGAAAAGGGCGCAGTAGAATTATCTCAAAAAGTAGTCGGAACTGAAATCTGAAAATTTGTGTACAGGGGTTTATAAAAGAGATCTATTCAATAAAAATAGTATCAGCTTCCTCGCACTTCTGGTTATATCGGAAGTCATCTGTTATTTCCAATGGAACACTCTGTGTTTATGTAATTTTTTATTCTACGGTAAATTCTAGAGTAATTTCATATAAGGTACTATATAGGCCAAAATATGACAAATATCAAGTTATTATCAATTTTCGAAAAAAATTGAGGGATGCAAGTGATTTTTGAAAACAGAATAACTCCCATATTTAGCTTAATTTGTTAATGAAATTTGGCATTGATAATTTAAAAGCAATGGAATTCAACTAGTTTATGTAAAATTTGCAATAATTCATACAGAGTGTTTAGAAACGTATGGCCAATATTGTAACGTTGAAGTTGAATTTACTCAAAATTTTCAAATGGTACACTCTGTATATTATTACATAAATGGATGCAGAATTATTAAATTTACTTTAAAATGATACTATAGTTCCCTATACCTAAAGTCAACAGTTCTTGTGTAAATTGGAAATTATTCATGATGATGCACTAAAGAATTGAATAATGAATGTGTCTGATCAATAAAAAATACAGTTTGTATAGACATATACCTCCTTATAGATATGCAGAGATGTAGAATAAAATAAAACTAATTTGCTAATTGTGATTATTTTCATAATATCCCTATTTTTGGTTTGTGTAATTTGTTCTGTTGTATTAGTTGTGCTATACATAATCCGTAAGTATAATAATTTTGGAATATGTAAGTCAAGTGGTATTGCTAACGTCAAATTTTCGTATATGAAAATTGTTATTTGTCATTGTCTGTGTCGTAAATTTAAAAAAATGCGTAATTATCGTGATTTTGGTGTATGTGAAATTTGTGGAGACAAGATAGAAAAGAAGTACCTTCTGCAGAGTAGCGACAACATATTTTACTGCAAAGATTGTTTCAGGAAGAGATTTTCTTCAGGTACGTAATATAACAGCTGCCTGCTTTTCATTTTGAATGAATTCATTTCCTAATACAAATTAAGCAATCCTATCGTGTTAATGATTTTTGAAGACATAATATGTAAAAACAAAACTTATATGATACAACGACTCTAGCAGTTATAAGTGAGTTACAAACTGTAACTGAAATTCTATATGAATTAAAAGAATTTCTGTAACAACGTACTTAACACCTTCATCGTGGTATTGGAGGCAGCAAGAAATATATGAAGAAAAATTGTCATTGTTATTGCCATATATAACGTATATATTTTAGAATTTTGTGTTGGAAATTGCTTTTATTTAATTTGTAACCGAATTTCACTCAAGCTACTAGTTAAGGTTTATTTGAAGTAAATTACATATGATATGATTCGGGAGTTTTTTTACAAAGGGTATAGGGTTTTTTTAAATCGCCCATTTACATTAACCTCTATATTTCCGCTGTCATTAAATTTAGAGGAAAAAAGTTTATTTGTTCTATTTTGGATTATTTATTTTTAGATTGAAAGCTTGTTGAACGACTATTATTATTATTTTATAAATTTTGAAAGGTAAATAAATGGTGTATGAAAATCTTCACAAAGTTAAAATGTTGAAATGTGGTGTTCTATTTAAAAGACCTATTTTTATCTAATATGCGATTTGTAAAAAATCTGAATACGCCAATGGCTTTCTCATAAAAAATAGAACAAATAATGTTCAAACTTTTTTCTTCTAAATTTAATAAAGAAGCCTCTCTATCTCCGAAATGAGCGATTTTTCAAAAAAATCCGGATAAACTAATCAAGTTAGCCAAGATCTTTTGGTACCCGCGAAGTAAACTCAAAAGAAGAGGACGGGACATCGATATCAGATTTATTGTATCTATCAGCGTTATGACTGTAGCCTATAAAACTATCGAAAATCAACCACCCTGTACAAGTCAAGCGAGATGCAATTATTTGTATTGTTAGTGACAGATTATCGTGAATCCACCAAATGGCTACAACTATTGCCACAAGTGTTTGAAGAAGAAACTAATGTCATATTAAGGAGCCGTTGCTATATTTAAGATGGCTGCAATAATGAAAAAATTCTTATGGAGAGCTATTTGTAGTTTGTATTATAAGGCAACAGATGTATGCTTTAGCCCAAAAAGGGACATTTTTATGTGGTACGATATTGAAGAATCGGAGCATTTAAACTCTTATGTTACAACACAGGAACAAAATTAAAGTACATCTTTTTTTATTGTTACTGTGTAAAACAATTTATATAATGTTCAAATTCCCACAACCTTGTTTCATTTGTGAACTAAAAAATACTTTTAAATATATAAAATATTTATTAATAAATATATTATAACGACATTATCTAAAGAATACTTAAGAATAAAGAGATCTTCACAACAACCCAACAGTTTCTAGTAAACAGTATAATCAAACTTTTTGTAGGAAAAAATAAATGTATTTATTATTTTATTAAACCACAAAATTTATTCCACTACTGTTCTTCAAAACTACTCAGTTAATAATGTAAAAACGGAAATCAAATTATAGTGTGTACCTATGTCTTAATACAAATTGTAATACTTTTTAGCTTCAGGTGACCAAACTATAAAAAATGCAAAACAATTCGCTCTTCGGAAATCTCAGAAGTTAATTCCTTATCCAGAGATGTACACATTGCAGAAAAATAACAGAAACTTGAGAAATTGTACGTCAAGCATAATGTCACTTTCCAAAAGGTAAATAAAAAAAATGGAAAGCCTTTTTTTGAAGAGAAATATCAGTTCTATCAGTGAAATTGTCTCAATGTTATCGGAAGCTCATGATTTTGTTAAATGTTTAACTATATTTTTTTTTACTAAATATTTTACCATTATTTTTAGACCATTGCAGTGTCCAAAAGCTGAGTGCAATAAATATGTATCAATATTTACACTCGAGTCCCACTTCAAATATGAACACAAAGAAGTCCCAATTATACTAACACAACTTGATGCACGCAGTGCATTGGAATTTTATCCAAGAGACGTGAGATATGGCATAACGCAGTGTATCGTTTTGCTAAATGTCATCGACTATGATTTTTCCAATGTTCTTCCTCGGTACACTAGGTAAGACAACACGCAAGTAGTTTGGAATGTGTAAAAAATAATTCATTTATTCACGTAATTATTAAGTCTACCTGAATGTTGTGGAGAATAAATAAGTGCAATATTCTCTAATAAATATGAGAAAAGGAACAAACTTTGCATATAATTAGTAATTTTCATATACGAGGTCTGTTCAGAAAATAACCGAACTTTATTTTTTTATACTTTATTATTCATTTTATACATTATCCTATTGGTCCTTGTCCCTTTCAAAGTACTCCCATCCAGCAGTCCTGGATAACTTCATTTAAAATGTTAAAAAATAACGACTGTATCTTGAGTACACACTTCGGTGATTTAAAGAAAAGCCAAAGAAATTTGTATGTTAAAGTGTGTATAAAATTTATTAAAATCTTAGCTGAGCGCTTTCGACTACATAGTCATCATCGGAGCTATTCCTAAAATATCAACAAGAGGTTGAAATGACATTACATAAAGCAAAAAATTTTTACTTACGTTAAATTTTAGATACCAAAAAATATTTAGGAAACGTTGAAAATCTTAATAAGTTCGACATAACAATATACAACATTAAATATAACATCAATTACTGGTAAATAACAAGAGAAAGAAACAGAAATTGACTAACAATGTCGAACACGTGGAGTGAAATAAAGTGAGGTTAAATGTTAAATGAAATTGAAAATTGACATTCTACAATTCTAAGGATTACCAGCTAAGTGAAAACAAAAATTTTTACCTAAGTAAAAATTTTTTTGCTTTATATAATGTCATTTCAACCTCTTGTTGATATTTTAGGAATAGCTCCGATGATGACTATGTAGTCGAAAGCGCTCAGCTAAGATTTTAATAAATTTTATACACACTTTAACATACAAATTTCTTTGGCTTTTCTTTAAATCATTTAAAATGGCCTCTAAAATCTATGACGAATTTGCTTCAATGTCAACCATAGTTTGAAAACGGCGTCCTTTCAGCACTGACATTAATTCGGAAATAAGAAAATATCGCAAGGAGCTAGATTTGGAAAGTAAGGAGAGTGATGGAGGACAGTAATCTAATTTTTTGCACAAAACTGACGAACTGACAAAGCTGAGTGTTCTGGCGCATTGCCATGGTGCAAGAAGCATGAGTTGTCTCGTCACAACTCTGGTCTCTTTTTGCGGATTTTTTTAACGTAACCGTTGTAAAACGCCTTGACAACCTTAAGGCACGAATTAAAAATGCCCAATTCCGTTACAGTCGAAAGAACAGTGATCATCACTTTGACAATGGATTGAGACTGACGTGCTTTCTTGGGTCGTGGAGATCTTTGCCAATCCATTGTGATGATTGAATTTTTGTCTGAATATCCAGCCGTAAACTTAGACTTCGTCTCCTGTTATGGTCCTTTGAATTATCGTTTCATCGCCATTGGATTGTTGAAGAAGTTACCAACAAACATCCACACGATTTTCGTTCTGTTGTTCCGTCATCAAACGAGGAACAAATTTTGCTGCATCTCGATGCATATTCAATTTTGAAATGCTAACCTCTTCTGCAATTTCTCTAACAGTTTAACTTTCTAGAGGTAGTAGTTATCACTTAAAGTCGAAGGTCTTCCCGGCACAGCATCATCTTCAATTGACTGACGACCACTTTTAAATCGTGAAAACTATTGCGTAATATTGCGTACGATCCAGAGCACCATCTCCGTAATCTTGTTTAAAAAGTTGAAACGTTTCCGTGCATCGTTGTTCCAGAAAATTGCACCTCTCAAAAATCATCACTAACACTTACACACGTTGCGCTCAAATAACAATATCACGAAAACTGAATGAAATATCAACAAACCAAGAACATGTAGTTACAAAGGAGGTTATGCGCAACGCAATGCTGCCAACCGCATATCACTAAATGACACGACAGAAATATTTTTTTCTGCTAAATGAATAAAAAGTGTAAAACAAATAGGTGCAAATATCAAGCTAACCTAAACTAATCTAAATTAGATAACTTAACGTTACCTAACATAACTTAGGCTGTGTTCAGCGAACGGTCAGACCGATCAAAGACGTTCAGCGCACAAATATTTCGTTGACCAGCCCAATCAGCTGATTGGGAATTTTGAGCAGGTTTTAATACAGTTACTAAATGCCATTCAGCGAATTGTTTGACTAAAGTAGTTAGACCGAAATAGTCCGACCATTCGCTGAACACAGCCTTAATCTAACCTCTAGCTACACGATAGGATCCTTAAGCTTTCAACCCATGATATCACTTTTGGACATTTGACTTCAGTATAGATCAAATTATAAATTAAAATTAGAATATGTTTTATTTTTGGACTATATCCGAAACAAATAAAAATTACCTAACGGGTTGTTAAAAAATAATAAAAAGGGTTTTTTAGGTATTTAAAAAAAAATAAAAAAATTACGTTATATGGCATTTTTGCAAACAAGGTGAATATAAAATAGATACTAAATAACTTTCCCTGAAAAATTATCCAATTTTAATTGAAATCGATTGTCAATTGTCAACTTCAAGACCGAATAACTCTACAGGGTGAACTCGAATAAAACAAACAAAGTGCATGATGGACTTGTGATATAATTTTTGTAAATCCTACCTATTTATACTTTACTGTATAAATATCTATCAACCAGGGGCGGAGATATGAGAAACTCATCCGAGTATTTTATAAAAAAATATATTACAGTCCTGTGCAAATTAATTAGTGATTATATTTTTTGAAAAAGTATGCAAGTGGGAACAAAAAATACTCTTATATTTTGTCGTTATCTGTCTCTGTTTTACGGCAAATTGGATTTCTCTTTTTCCTTTCTAATTGGCAAGCTACTGTGCGCTAATGGATTTTTTTTAATTCCTGTTATAAATATTTCTATTAGTTTCAACTAATTTAAATAATAAATAAATTAGCTTCCTTCGAATGAATAATACTCTTATTTGATTATTACAATAATAATTTACAAGAGAATCATTACTTTCCATGTTTTTCCTCAAACATTTTTTACCGTCAGTTGTTTAATACCGTTACAGTAAATAAATTTAAAGGCAAAATAAATGTATGAAACAACTTACAAAAGATGAAATACACGAAAATTTAACTAAAAGGTTAATAACAGTTACATAATAATTCAATGCTAAAAATTAAATTAACAACAGATTAACTAACTAATAAATAATTATTGCTGCTACTAACAGTATTCAGTACATTTCATAATAAGTGTTCAAAATGAGCACCATTTGCCTCAATACATGCTCTGTAGGACGTAAGGTGTTAAAATATTTAATTGTATGCTCTGGAACTAAGGACATTTAAATAAAGGGGACTAGACATGTCACAGTCTGTCTCATATGTTGTATGTTGGGTAAAGCTAGGCAAGGGGAAAGCAGAGGGCTTTATTTTCATCCAACTGATGCGCGCGATTACATCTCCAATGTCGTACGTTTTGGAAGGGTCAAAATAAAATATTTTATAGTCCTAACACAATATATTTCAACAGCTACTCAGTATTTTTATATATACAGGGTGATTCGCAACTTATCCAAAAAAAAATGGGAATAGATGCAGCATGAGAAATGGAATCAATCCTTATAGTTTCCGAGAAAAAAACTATTGAAGTTATAGTACATTCAACCACTACATAGCTGCACAACTGTAGTCTCTAGCGTCATTCGCCACGTGGCCTCAGCGACTCCGAATACTGAATTCGGATTTTGCAATCGTCGTTGCGATATTTACTTGCTATCTGTGGTGTTTACAACAGGTTTTTAGTAGTTAGTGTCAAAAATGGGTAGTTTGTGTCAAAAATGGTTTGCGTGTACTCGGAGTTGATGGATATCGTTTTAATTTATGGTGAAGCATTTGTGTTATGGTGAAACAAGACAACATTTGTGTTAGTTCG